GTACAATGCAGGCTATATACACAAAAGCTTCTCCTGAAAGACGTAGCCATTTCCTATTTTGTCGGGACAATCTGTTTTTTATGGATCACAACTTGTATGTCTTATTATTTGTAGTTGTGTTGTCTATTAACAGTTCCAATTATAAGTTGTATGTAGTTGCTATGATGATGTAAACAAAGAGCAAAGCTTTGCCTCTGCTAGCCTGTTAACTAACATTACAGTATTGATGCAGAGTTTACTTTAGCTTTTGTAAGACGGTTCACCACCCCTTAGGAAAATTATCCATGATTTTGTGATCGATTACTGTTTATATCACCATAGTTTTCAGACAAATATCATTAAATGTTGGATAACATCGTATCTATGAGAAAATTACAAAAAAACATACCACTCTGAAACATCCTGTGAAATCCGTGCTTGCAAAGGCCATGCTTGAAATCTGTTCTGCACGATCCTCTTGTTCGTTAACATTGTCAGGGTCTGAATCAGGCTCAAAAAGGTTTGAAATTGACGGCATCATTAATATTTACATCTTGGTAGAGCTTGCGGTTATGAAGGGGCGTGACATTTCCCAAACACACGCTAAGCGCTGCCAATCTCAACACACTGTTCCAGCTGACCAATCACAGCACATTTCGTATGTCGGAAGGAGGAGCTTCATCAAAAATGGCGTGTTCACCCAGACTGGGGAGAGAGGAGCTGTAATAATGTAAAACATGTGAAAAATAATATGTTTTTTTGAACAATTAAGCATGAAAACATATTCTAGTACATCCCGAAAACAAAATCAAGACTTCGTAGAAGGGTAAAATAGGACCCCTTTAAAAAGGCGAAATTACCACTATACTGAGGATTAGAAGCCAAATATACCATTGGCCTTACATAATACCTTCACCAATCAGTATAGGTTGTGAAAAGGTTAACCCAACCCACAAGTCCAGAAAAGTTGATTTGTTAATTCTCTTGAACTATTTTGTAAATATAAACAAGTTTTGATTTTAATGCCTTCTACACAGTCCAAAAAAGTTGGGACAGAGGCATGTTTGCCACTGTGTCTCATCACCTTTCCTTAATGACACTTTTTAATCATTTGGGAGTTGAAGATACTAATTGTTGAAGTATTGCAAGTGGAATATTTGCCCAATCTTGTCTGATACAAGACTTCTGCTCAACAGTCTGTGGTCATCGCTGTCCGTTTCTGTTCATGATGGGTCATACATTTTCAATAAGAGACAGATATTGACTGGAGGCAGGCATCAGGCACATCTCTTTTATTGTGCAGAGTGTCTAGAAACCACTGAGTTTTAGCATGTGCAGAATGAGGCCTGGCATTGTCTTGCTTCCCAGGAAAGATGTCATCTTGATGGCAGTTTATGTCTCTGTACAATCCAAATTAATGCCTCCATGTCGATGGTACCTTCACACAAATGCAAGTTACCCATGCCATTTGCACTGATACACCCCAATCCCATGACATATGTTTGCTTTTGCACCTGTCGCTGATGAAAGTCTGGATGGTCCCTTTCGTCTTTGGGACTGAGAACTCAATGTCTGTTTTTCCCCAAAACAAGCTGAAACATGGACTCATCTGACCAAAGCACACATTTCCACTGTGTTTTAGACCTTCTGAGATGACCTTGGACTCAGAGAACTCGCCGGCATCTCCACATAGAACTGATGTATAGCTTTCTCCTTGCGTAACAGAGATTCAAGTGGCATTTCTTGATGCAGCGTCAGACTGTGTTAAAGGAACACTCCGACTTTTTGGGACTTTAGCTTATTCACTGTATCCCCCAGAGTTAGATAAGTCCATACATACATTTTTCATCTCCGTGCGTGCTGTAACTCTATCTGACGCACCCACCGCTAGCCTAGCTTAGCACAAAGACTGGAAGTAAATGGCTCCAGCTAGCATACTAATCCCAATAAGTGACAAAATAACACCAACATTTTCCTATTTACATGTTGTGATTTGTATAGTCACAGAGTGTACAAATAACAAGGTCATATGAGACATAGCCATCTTTTAACCGTATAAATACTGGGAACTATATTCTCAGAAGGCGAAGCACTGCTACTTGGGCGGAGTGATTACCGCAGCACCTGAGACGCACGGAGATGAAAAAGGTGTGAATGGACTTATCTAACTCTGGGGGATACAGTGAATAAGCTAAAGTCCCAAAAAGTCGAAGTGTTCCTTTAAGTGAAAATGTTTTTCCAAAGTACTCCTGAGCACATGTGGCTGTATTTAACAGAGTAGCATGATGGTTTTTAATGCAATGCCATCTGATGGGTCAAATGTAATGCACATTCAACAGAGGTCTCCTGCCTTGCCCTTCACAGAATGAGATTTCTCTAGATTCCCTGAATCTTGTGACAATATTATGTATGGAAGATGGTGAAAGACATAAATTCTTTGCAATCTTGCATTGAGAAATGTGATTTTTGAATTGTTTGACAATTCTCTCATGATATTTGGCATAAAGTGATGAGCCATGACCCATCTTTGCTTACAAAGACTGATAAGCTCTTTTACACCCAAACACGACACGTAGCTCGGAACTACCCTTGGGCATCATAAGTGGTCTGGTGGACCATCGGCACTGTAAACCCTAGCATAGCAGCCAGAGCTGCCGTCGTCTCACAGGCGCTGGACAGGTCTTGCGGACGATTCCTCCAGGTGGCAGCACTTTGCAAGCATAAATGCACCGCAATCACACACTCCACCTGGGGAATCCCTACGAATCCCCTTACCGGCCCACCATTGAGGGTAGTGAGAGAGGAAGAACTTTTTGAAGCAGATTTTGGCAATGTCGTTTGGCAAAGAAAGGCGGCGGCCCGGGGCAAGCATGGCTATCAACTCTGAATCTGATTCAGCATGAGCAAACAGCGCTGAAGCAAGAAGCTAAGCATCATCTTCCTCTCCAGAGAACAATAGCCCTCTATCTGATGCAGCTATCGACATCTGATCCTCATCCAGAGCACCGAGTGGGTCATCGGGATGGGAACCCACGCTGTCATCTGGCAGCTCGACGGCACATGACACGCCACAGAGGAGTGGGAGGTAATACAAATGCTGTTGATCAAGTTTAACTTGAATGGAACCTCTGAATATTCCTTTAACTATCAACAGAGTAATTATCCTTAACTAAAAACTCTGAAACAGCAGTTCATTACACTGACAGATGAATGTGAAATGAGAAGTCTGCTTACTGATAACTTAATTATCAGTGAAAGCCATGAATATAAAATTATGATGTAGTATCTACCGTGATTCATAACCACCTGTATAACTCTGTCCATGCAGTGACATCAAGTTGAATGTACACAACTGTAATTGAATTATATCTTATATCAGCACTTCAGCTGTTGATATAGTGGGTAATGCTTTATTGACTCAGTATAGCTTTCCAAAGGCATACAGACAGAGCAAATAACTAGAAGTGTCAGATGAGAAAGACAGATGAGGTGTGTGCAGTTTCACTGGGGCTTCAACACTAATCTAATTAGCGCTTTACTATGTCAGTTTAAACTATTATGAGCTTATATGTGGGTAATTTAATTAAACAACATTTAACGAAATTAAATTGATTATCGTTTTTGGTCCCAATTTGTATCAGGTGTCTTTAACTAACTATGGACTTACATAATAATAATTGTTGGGTAATGTACTTATAGTGTTGATGTTGTATTGTGAAACACTATTGAGGTGGATACGAGTAAGGTTAAGGATGGGTCTGGTGGTATGGGTAGGTTTAAGTGTGGGTTAAGGTGTAGCGAAGGTTAACAGTGTAATTATAGATGTGATTACAGAAATTAATTACAGCTGTAATTACATGCAGGAATTTTTTAAACATAAAACTATAAAAAGATAAATACATTTCTAGTGCTGTCAATTCAATAATTCATGATCAATTGCATCTAACATAAAAATTGTAAAAAAAAATAATAATAATATACAGTATGCATATATATATATACACACAAATTATTTATAGATATTTACAAACTTTTATGTTATGCGATTAATCGATTTGACAGCACTAGTATGTACACAATAAGTGCATTGTGTCAAATGAGTAGTTTAGTACATAGTACGTAGTTTAAGACACTTAATATAAAGTGGGTCCCAATTTTTTATTGATTGACAGCTCTAGCTAAATACAGATCAAACTCAAAATGCAATTTTAACTTGGAAACTCATCCAAGAATGTAGATGCAGAGATGTGGGTGTGTGGATTCATAAACATGGCAGCACCCAGATATGTACGGTTATTGATAAACATCAGATAAAACAGATTGTTCTAATGAGTTATTCGTTTAATTCCTATGCCAAACTTTGACCATTTGAAATGCTTATCTATCTTTACCATTCTTAACAGAGTATTTGTATTGTGGCGGCCTTTCCACTGAAGCACAGTAATGAATAAGCAGAGAATGATGAAGAACCAATCACCAATATATGTGAACCAAGATATCCAAATATTATTTCCAATATGTAGTACACAAACAAATCCAAAAACAAAACTTAAACATGATACCCTGAAAGCTTTTTTAATTAAATGTTTCTTCAATAATTTTTTTTTAAAAATGAAATCCAACCAGTAGAGATGGTCCTGAAGACGATACATAATTAACGGACCAAAGTAGGCTTTAATGTTTTCTGTCCAAACAATAGACATTTTTGATGACATAAATGCTGGTGTAGTGTTTTGGCATAACTTGCACATGACAAATTCTTAACATTTTTCTATTAAAATGTAATTAAAGGGTTAGTGCACCCAAAAATGTAAATTCTGCCACCATTTACTCAGCCTCATGTCGTTCAAACCTGTATGACTTTCTTTCTTCTGTGAGACACAAAATAAGATATTTTGAAAGATGTTGTTAATCAAACAGTTTTGGTTCCCATGGACTTCCATTGTCCAATGGAAGTCCAAAAATACAATGGAAGTCAATGGGAACCATTTGATTACCGACATTCTTGGAATGACATGAGGATGAGCAAAAGATGACAGAACTTTCATTTTGGGGTGAACTAACACTAATACCCTGAGATACACTTTTTTTTTTTCCATGCAGTTTTAGAAATGCTCCTTTAATACACATCGGTTGGAAGTTTGAAATCCTTGAAGCAGTAAAAAGAGATGTCACCATGATCCACCACTGCAAACGTTACTGGGACATCTCCACTTTGGAAGGACAGCTGCTTCATGGCATGCAGATCAGGCACGGGACCGTCAAAACTGTCAATGAACGAAGACATAAATCAGTTAGCATGCTCAGATCAGGATCTTTTTAGACTATACACATTTCTTGTCACTTGATAATAATAATAAATATAGCTGAAAGCAGCTATTACGAGGCCAAGCACTTAATAAGCCCATTATTGACATTGATGGACATAGACTTTATTTAGGGAACTTTATGAATCTTGCAAAATTCACAAGGCTTAACACTTGCCATCGACTGGATTTGATCAAACAGTCTTTAAACCGCTAACCTGTTGCTTTACACAGCACGCCACTCATACACCGTGGTTTGCTTAATTTAAAAGTAGTGCATTTTTTACATGAAAAAGTGATATTATACTTGGTTCTTGTCGCTTATCACTGGGCGACACAAGGAAGACATGCTTTCAACCAGCTGTCAAGGGTCAGAAAACTAAATTTAGACAATGTTTTCAAAGGTTAAGCGTTTTTGCAAAAATCCTTATATCTCTGGAACACTAGGTGGCGCTGTGATCAAACTCCTCAGGTACCTTTAAGGAGATGCTGTCAATGATCTCTACCTAATTTGTTGCCGATAATGTCAAATCGTTTAAAAGATATTGCAATTTATGTAAAATTTCAAAATGGTGGACAGGCAATTTGTCTGATCTTGGCAAAATTGGTATCGAGGGATTCGAATTTGCAGACACCAAGATCTTGACTTTCTGATACATTTTCGTAATGTGCTAGTTTTCCCAACTTACGCGTATACCTTCAGATCTGGGTGCTGACAAAGTGTACCAAGTTTCGTTTCGATTGATCAAAGTTTGGCCAGGATATAGCATCTAATCGGATTTTGGGTCAACGTCGTTAACTTTTTTTGAAGAAGAAGAAAAAGGTACATCAAAATTCTGATATTTTGGTAAGAATTGGACCAAATTTAAAGGTGGAGTAGTGAAAAAACTGCATACAGTACATTTCAGAATGGCCACTGTATCGGGTAAAGTCTTAATGTAAGATATTGAATGTGATCAGCAAATTACGTGTACTAAGAATGTTGTTTCTATGACAAAGGTTTCAGAAGTTATAGCCATTTAAAAAGTGTATTTTTGCTATAGAGTTGGCTTTAGAGACCCCGAAGTTGGTCAAATTACTATTCAGGACCACCGCTATAATATTTAAGAGGATTTAACAGCAAAATTGTGAAGCTAATAATTAGCATTTACATTATTTCCTTAAATGTTTTAAAATAGCTTGAGGTAGTTTGTGACGTCAGAAACACCAGCGATTTAAAGTACAGTGAGAAAATACTCAGCAATGGTGTCGACTTTACACATTTAATTTACTTTAATTTACACATGGTTTGTCTTAAAGGTCCCTTGACATGGGGTTATTTTTTTATTTTATAATGTTTCCTGGGTTGCCCTTATAATGTTGGTATGTTTTTTAGATCAAAAATAGTCATAATTTAGAAATAAAAGGCATTTTTCCTAGCCTGCTTTTAGCCTCTGATTTGAACACTCTGTTTGAAGGGGCGTGTCTCTGTGGGATTCAGTGTAACCGCGGCCACTGCTGTGATTGGCTGACATGCTTGCATATGAAATAGCTACATATTACATGTGAAACTCTCTTGAATACTTTTACTACAGCTATTATACGTTTTTACTATTACAGCTATCGAGATTAACGAATTGTGAGAAGTTTTTTAAGTATTTAGATCTATTCCCATCACATAAAATGTTGCCGTGATGAGCATTGAGCAGATGACAGTGTGTTGATCGCGAGCATGAAGATCTTATCATTGCAAAGCAGTTTCTGCACTCTCTCTAATGCTTTCCCCAATGCAAACACGATGATGTACATACAGTAAGAGCTTCGTTGTGCAGTGTAACGTGCGTCATTGATTTCATAACGAGTTGTCCAGATAAACTCGCGCTGTGTGTGGAAAGATGTTCTTTGATCGCTTTCTGTATAATTTGTTCAGAATTTAAATAAGATTATTTTCATCCTACTAAAAGAAACGATGTGAAGTTGATATTTTAGTCACTGGCTTGACTTACTGATGCATAAACAGTATTGAACGATTTTGAGAGAAAGATTAACTTACCTGTCTGAACTTGAACAATTACGCTACACATCAGAAATTGTTGCTTGGTAGCTCGATCGATTTATTTTCAGACGTTCATCGAGTTGAGGAAACAGTCGTCGGTGAAATGTTTGGACCATACAAAACTTAGGGAAGTTGTGTCGGCGCATTTCCAGAGAAAATAAAATTAACCCATTGTTTCTTCAGAGGCTCGGATGAAGGAACTAAAAAATACTTTTGTGTTCATTTGTACATCCGAACACTGATCAACTGCCATGCTTCGCTCGTTTGCAAGCCATGATATCTCTCGAGGAAAAACTCAAATCTCAAAGCTTTCTCTAGGAAAAACTAAAATCGCGCCGGCGCGTTCGTACTTCCTGATCCTAGCTCGTTTTCTCATGGGCGAGCCAAATTCTCCGGGCGGGCAAAGCAGAGAAAGGGGAGGTAACCTTTCCTCGTTATGACGTCATACGGGGGAGATTCAAGATCAGCGCGTCTGAGCTGCAGAGAAGAGAAAAATAGCCAAAGCTCGGTTTACACCGATTGAAAATTCTAGACACGAGGGGACCAAATACAGGCTAGGGGAACTAATATTAATGTTAAAAAACCTCAGAAAGTGAAAATTTCATGTCAGGGCACCTTTAAAGCATATTAAAAACACCACGTAGACATATAAACAACATTAAAAGCTTGATTTTTGCCACAAGGGGACTTTTGTATTTATTTGAGCTGTAAAAAAAATTATTTTCAGTATCTCCAGTTATTACTAAATTTGTTATGTCTAATCCTAAAAAAAAATTAAAGGGTAAAAACATCACAGACGGGTCATATTATGAGGCCAAATAGCATATTTCAAACATTTTGCTTATTCCATGTCATTGCTAAGTACCGCAAAATCATAAAACCAATTTTCCAGCATGAATCAGCAGTCTGTGTGATCCAGACACTGTATAACTAAGGCAAAATAACAAAACCAACACAGCAGGAAAAAGACGATCATAAAAGCATGTAATGAATGACTGGACTAATTTCAGTGTATTGTGTCAGTGTGTTTACCTGCAGACACACATGCGGCTGTAAGGCTTTCCAGGATGGCTCTTTTTAAACTCCGCCACCGTGTCCGGTTGGTAAACATCAAAACTAATCTTCCACTGGTCTGACGGGGACAACCTGACAAAAAAGATCGTTTAAAACAGCAGTTCAATCATCTCAAAGGCTTATTTGACTTCTCTGTCAATTTCGGGAGAAAGCTACCAGGTTTACTCTGACAGCGTTTGATTTCATCCCTCAATATGATAAAGAACAGGACAGTAAAGGTGGGCTTATACACCTGGAAACCCCCTCAGACCAGCTGGAAGACTTGACAATGCTGATCTGGTCCAGCAGTTCACCTGCACCATGATAATACAAAAAAGATGAATGTCACATGAGAGTGAGGCAATAACAGGCATCTTTCACAAACATTACATTTTCTAAGCACAAAAAACCAAGATCATATATCAGACAAACCTAATCGTCTAGTTTTTATCAGTTTGACACTGAAACCTCACTGTAGAATAATTAAAAACCATTACAAACCTATTTTAACTACTAATTGTTAATACTAATACTACATTATATTATCACTGTTATTATATTATATTTTCTTCATTTAACAATTTATTACTTGTTTGTTTGGTTGCTGTTGTTGTTGTTATCTAAAACTACCACTATTAAAAATAAAATAAAATAAAAATGTTTTTTTTTAAACATAAATCGAAGATAAGAATAATTTCCTTTGCAATTAACTGAAAAAAAGAAGTACAAAAATGACTAAAACTGAAACAAATAAAAATAAATTAAGGATATATAGAAATGGCTAAAAAACTAAGCCTATCATTAAAATACTGATATTAAACAAATTAATATAAAAATGAAATAAAAGCTAATTCAAAGTATTATTAAATACTATGATCGTGTATAAACAATACAAAAAATAACTGTTAATTCCAATTTATTTTATTAATTTATTGCTAAATGTATTTACATTTCTTTCTTTTCTTTCATTTAGAAAAATATTATATTTATTATTAAACTAGATTAATAAATACTATAAACAATTATTGTTTACTGAAATCATGATAATCACTAACTAATATTAACAAATTGAAAAAAATGTTTTTGATAGTCATGTAATAAATCTTATTAGAAAGAATAACTAGCATTTAATCACATTAAACTGAACACATTAAAGTGACGTGTATTTTCTAAACCAAGTAGTGCTGTGAAACGATTAATCGCAATTCATCGCATCCAAAATAAAAGTTTGTGTTTACATATGTGCGTGTGTACTGTGTATAATTATTTTGTATATATAAATACACACACATGCATGAATATATTTAATATTTGCATGTATACTAATATATATATATATATATATATATATATATATACACACACACACACACATACATATATATATAATATTTATATTATATCATATCAATATTTTATAAATAAATAACACATTTTTCTTAAATATACAAAATAATTATACACAGTACACACACATATATTATGTAAACACAAACTTTTATTTTGGATGCGATTAATCGTTTCACAGCCCTACCAAGACTAGGGACCTAGTCATTGAAAGTCTACGAGTGTTTTCTTACGGTGCGAGGCGCATTGGCCGGGCTGAGTAAGCGGCGTCACCTCCCTCTCCCACAGATGCGCGGGTCTGTCTTTCCGCCACCGTCTCCTCCTGTCCTCCATCAGCTGGGAATACTCCGCCCAGTTCCTGCAGCGCCGCACCTCTCGGTCGCTGTTAACATCCCTGCGGTAGCGATCGCTCTCTCCCTGGCGCTCCCTGTCCCGGCGCGACAGCTTCTCCTGCTTCATGTTGAGTCTGCTGAGCCACGGAGCCACGTCACAGTCGCCCACCTCCAGAGCGCCGGGTAAGAGGCTACGGTCTGGGGACGCCAGGCACACGGAGCGGCTCCTACGGGAGCCCAGGTCTGGGAAAGAGATGCTGCTGAAGTCCCAGCGAGGAGCTGCGCTTTGGGCTTGAGGAGGTGGAGGCTGGACATCCCTCTCCATCCACCACGTCCTGTCAGAGGCATCGGCGGACGGCAGGGGCGATTCGCTGCTCTTAACTAGCTCGTCACTTCGGTCTTCGGCTGTCGTCTTCTCCACTGGTGACGTGTTCTGCTTGTCACTGAGGCCGATCAAGACAGAGATCAGAATATTGAGCAAGAACCAAGCGGCAACCTCTCTTTTGAAACCAACACGGAAGAGACTTAAACTGCAATTCATCGACTGGCCACTAGAGACAGGCTCCAAAAGAGATTCAATTCCATAGGCCCCCATGTTAAAATGCCCAACTTTACAGCAGAAAAACATATGTTTACAGCCTGGTACAAAAGGTGGTTTTGGTCTATATAGATAATTTTGCCCTTCATGACAACTGTGAGGGCGGTGAATTCTTTAATAACTCATCCGTTTAAATTATATTATGCCTTAAAGTTGTGCATAATTCAGGGCGTGGCCACTTGAGTGACAGATGGATTGCCACTGCTGTCATTAGCCGTTTGTCTGCCGTCTGTTAGCCATCACGTCACCTCAGATAATCCGCCTCTTTGCCCATTTTGGTTTAACCGGGAGTGATGTGTGGTGACGTGCTGCCAAGATGGCGACGGCCGGCTCCGCCCACTTTGGGCTTCAAAAATGCTCTTCAGAAACCTACAGGTGACATCAAGGACACTACGTCCATGTTGGTTTTACAGTCTATGGTTAGAACTTAATGCTCTTCGGTCACTTCTTATCAAAAAAAAAATTACGTATCGTGTTTATTTTTTACTTTATCGGAAAGATACGAAACTTGGTAAAGGTTTTGGTTTCGTGAACACAAAAAATCATGGATAACAAAAGTTAAATGGTCCTGAAAAAAATAGTCACACTTGTGCTCCTTGTGATCAAAATTACAGCATTGGAAATGAAAGGGAGACGAATTTCATCTAGTGGAAACGTTTGGTTCTGCGGCCAAACAAAATCTGACTTGATTTTCTTGCAGTTTTAGAGTAAAATGTGTTTTGGAAAATATACATTTCATATCAAATTATTATATCATATTCAATAAAATTTTTGTGCATTTTTGTAATTTTCAGGTCTATGCTCAAAAAGTGAATAAATGGATTATAAATACATCATAAATATAATTTAAAACTATAAAATCCCCTAATAATAAAAAATATAAAAAACATTATCAAACTAAAATATAGTACATACATTTCATTGAAATAAAAAACATTCTGTAATTTTTTACCGACATGTGAAGCGCACAAGAAGGTTAAGTAGAGCAGGCGGAAAATGAACAGGGGCTTGGGGCAAAAATACCACCAAAATAAACAAAAATGCCCGTCAAATTAAAAAAAAGCTCCTGCACAATTAAACAGAATCTCTAACGACCGTCACGATTAAAGCAAAATGTGAACATGAATGAAAAGTGTTGATTGCGGCCAGCAATTGAAAAGTCCCAGCCAGCACAGCCATGTGGGGCCCACATGGGTTTGACGTGGGCTATCTAACTGGGACCCAGACAGTTTTGCTCCCGGTTTCCATGTAGGCCCCACATGGGTTTGCCCAGATAAAATGAACACTGCTCAGTGTGCACACTACAGGCTGTTAAATGTAACACTGATCAGTGTTGGAGTTAATGAGATAATTAAGTGATTGAATATGATTGAGCATTATTGAAGACACCTAAAGCAGAATCACTGAAGGAGAAAATTGTAAGCCACCGTTATGGCGATCATTGTTTGCTTTAGTTGGGCTCTTGACCCTTATATTATTAACTTTAGATTTTGTTTGGCTGTTGTTTCTGACTTATAACTGCCAGATGAACAAAAAAAAAAGTCATGTAATGGTGTTGGTTATATTATGACAGTCATGGTTTGAACATACCCACTAAACACAATGATGTCCAAAAGACATCTTTTCAACATCTTTGTCACAAAAGTCGGACGTTGAAAAGACGTCCACTGAAGAGCCAGAATGAAAGTTTTTATGACGTCTTTTTTTGACGTGTTCTGCACGTCCGATATAGACGTTCATGGACCCTCTTCGTACAAGGTTAAAAACTAGTTCAAATGTGGCCATTGTGGACATATTTTTTACATAATTTATGGTCTCATTTAGACATAATTACTTTGACTATTGCTGTCAGATGATCTTAGTGAGAATTAGCAGAGGTTTAGATGTTGATATTTGTTTCATTTGAAGTGTCACCATTGTGGTGATCAGTGTTTGCTTTAGTTGGGCTCTTGGTCCCCTTTATTTTTACTTTAGCTTTTCTTTGGCTGCTGTAACTGTGTGTTTGTATGACACACATGTTGTGGCAGAGAAAGCCAAGAAAAAGTAAGATCAGGTGTTTTCAGCTCAATGTTGATGATGACATAATCATCACAAAACAAGCATCAAATGTTGAGTTTGAAATTGTGTTTATATTTTGGGATTCTCAACCACCAACCTTGTGGAACTGCAATATTGGTGCCAATAGAATACAAAATATTTTTAAAGTATAAAAAGTATGTGCACATGTTTTGAGCAAATGCATCATGTAGTCACACACAGACATTAAGATTTTGGCTATGAATCACAACAACGGTGACAATCAAAACAAAAAAGCTTGGGAATCAATGATGAGTTTTGAACTATGAAGGCTACCCATCATGCATTGCAGCATGATGATTTTTTTTGTCACCATTGTTGTGAATCATATGCAAAATCTTGATGTCTGTGTGTTACAACATGATATGTTTGCTCTAAACATCGTATGCACATAATTTTTATCCACCTATAAATAAGTGATATTATAAATGCTATTGGTGCCAATATTGCAGTTCTACAAGGTAGGCGGCTAGAAATGCCAAAGTATCTGACAACATTATATGCTTGTTTTGTGATGATTTCATCATCATCAACATGAAGCTGATAGCACCTGATGTTACTTATTCTTGGCTTTCTTTGCAACATCAGTTGCAAATAACAGTGTGTTTAACAAACACACAGTTACAGCAGCCAAAGAAAAGCTAAAGTAAAGATAAAGGGGACCAAGAGCCCAACTAAAGCAAACACTGATCACCACAATGGTGACACTTCAAATGAAACAAATATCAACATCTAAACCTCTGCTAATTCTCACTAATATCATCTGACAGCAATAGTCAAAGTAATTATGTCTAAATGAGACCATAAATTATGTAAAATTATGTCCACAATGGCCACATTTGAACAAGTTTTTAACCTTGTAGGAAGAGGGTCCATGAACGTCTATATCGGACGTGCAGAAACCGTCAAAAAAAGACGTCATAAAAACTTTCATTCTGGCTCCTCAGTGGACGTCTTTTCAACGTCCGACTTTTGTGACAAAGACGTTGAAAAGACGTCTTTTGGACATCATTGTGTTTAGTGGGTAATCATGCTGTGATCTGAAAAATGAAACTTATTGAGATTATCTGGTTTAACTTGTTAGCAACAGCTTTGTGATTCTACAGCAAATGATTATCAGTATTTTTTTTATCCAAAATATTTCATAAACATTGTTCTGATCATAACACTTTCAAATAAAATTATTTAGAAAGACATCAATAATCAGTCTGTGAATCTCAACAATGGTGACAATAATAATGCATGTTGCAGTGGCTGCCACCAATCACAACTCATTAATGGCTCCCATCATGCATTGCGGTATGAATAAATTATGATCTGAATTGTCTATGTAATTTACTTTTCCTAGTTGAATATTCTGCTCGTCACCATTGTTGAGATGCATTGACTGAATCTTGACGTCTGTGTGTGCCTAAAAGAAAGATTTTTTTTAAATAACTTTTAAGAAATCCTTTATATTATATCTAAAATTCTGGAAATGTATGCAGAATCACAGTTACGCTATAACCAACAGCATAAATCACTAAACATAAGGTTCAAACGATGACTGTCATAATATAACCAACACCATTACATCACTTTTTTTTTTTTTTTTTTATCTGGCAGTTATAAGTCAGAAACAACAGCCAAACAAAATCTAAAGTTAATAATATAAGGGTCAAGAGCCCAACTAAAGCAAACAATGATCGCCATAACGGTGGCTTACAATTTTCTCCTTCAGTGATTCTGCTTTAGGTGTCTTCAATAATGCTCAATCATATTCAATCACTTAATTATCTCATTAACTCCAACACTGATCAGTGTTACATTTAACAGCCTGTAGTGTGCACACTGAGCAGTGTTCATTTCATCTGGGCAAACCCATGTGGGGCCTACATGGAAACCGGGAGCAAAACTGGCTGGGTCCCAGTTAGATAGCCCACGTCAAACCCATGTGGGCCCCACATGGCTGTGCTGGCTGGGGTGTTGATTGATTTTTTCCCCGCGGGTTAAACGTCACAATAAAATGCGAATTTAAGTCTCAGAGCCACACCCACCTATCACATCATGTTGGCAAGCTGTTTCAAACTCCCGAAATGAACACTAAACAAACTTTGTTTTGGCCTGATTTTGTTCTAAATGACGTCACACCAATTCGTTCGATTTGGCTTTAAAGGGCACATAACACACAGTTTCTGCCAATCTCATGTTAGTCTTGAGTACTTATATAGAGTATGTAAAGTATTACCGCTTCTACTATACACACCTAAAAATAAAAATCATAAGCCAAAATTTTAAAGGGTAACTAAACCCCTGGTCAGAGCCTGACTCCACCCACTGGCAATATTTGAAAAATGCTGGGAAAGTGGGTGGAGCCCAGCGGAGATAGAGGGGATGAACGGATACTCTATCCTGATCGTTTTCAATACTCGCAATTCCAACTCCTGACTCGCTACAGTGGTTTTGACTAAACAATATGGTTTTTATACTGCCATGGACGTGGTAGCTCGTACCAAGGGCGTGGTGAGCTGGAACCTGCTTACGTCAGCTCTCACCGCTACGTCACGAACTACCGCAAACATCCAATAGGAAAATTCAACTGCAGTAGCCACCGTTCAACCTGAAGAGGGCAGCACTCAGACGTTTTTACACCATATATTGTAGAATTAAAACACTTTATACCCAAATGTCAAAAAGTTACTCGAATCAATGAACAGCACTAATAAAGCCCCAGTCTTACAGATCATTAACTAAAAAAAGTTGGTTTAGTGTTTAGTTACCCTTTAATTATGTAATTGTTCATCAACATGAGAGCTGAAGAAGACGTGACGTGTACCTGGACACAGGACTTTGAGAGCGTTTCCTCTTCAGCTGTTTTCTCTGCTTGTCCCATGATGATGCCGGCAGATTCAGCTGTCTCTCATATGTGGATGGGACTAAACTGTGTGAAAGACGACTTTTATTGGACACTGATGTGAAATATCTTATTAATTTCGGTACACGTCAGCGCAATTGATTGTACTGAAGTACATGATTTTTACCTGGGGTCAAATCTGTTCACAACATACCCAAGCCTTTTCAAATGTCCAAAAACCTAAATGAAGGAAGACAAATTACACTTATGAATCAGTATATGTTTACTGTATGTTTCGCTCTTCTTTGTTCCAGTGACAGTGACTATATACATTATTTAAAACATTTGTCAAAAGTGCTAAATATTTTTAACAGCAAAAAAATACTGAGTGCACCTTTAAGAAGAGTGTTTTCTTATCAGGTGACACTGGAGACAAACCTGATACTGATGAAGAGTCACAGTCTCACTAGAGAGAAAGCGCTCATATCCCTCCTGAATGGACAACGGAAGGTCCCGGTAAAACACCTGCACATTACCCTGGATTAGGAAGAAAAAATGGCAAAGATACAGTTTACACAAACAGACTAAGCCGTTTTCAACATTGATGATAATCAGGAATGTTTCGTGAGCAGCAAATTAGCATATTAGAATGATTTCGGAAGGATCATGTGACACTGAAGACTGCCTCACTGCATAAATACACAGTTCCCGTAATAAAAGATTATAGCGTGATATAAATATGATATTGGAAATGTCCACTCACACATTCCATGAGGTAGAGAGCCTCTTCAGGACGCAGGCACTGCTTGCCTCTCTCTGAAAAACCCATCGTCTGCCAAAATTTCCCCTGCAAAAGGACATGATCATTTCTAATGCCCTGTTTACAGCTGGTATTAAGATGCGTTTTGGTGGATCGGATCACAAGTGGACGAGGGAAACACATTCCTGTTTACACCTGGTGTTTTAATCCGTCCGCTTCACCCCTGATGTCTTCAAGGGGAGGGTCTATGGGCGGGTAAATGTATGTTCAGATCTTTCGATCTAATGGACAAAATAAGCTTACGCAATTTACAGTTGTAATCGAAATGATACAACTCCCATTGCAAATCAGGTTTATTGGCAAAATTTGCAATGTTTGCAATAAACAAATCAAACTAAGGTAATTGAAGTAGCTCAACTCCACAAATGTTTCAAGTGAAACTTTTAATGACTTCTGCAGTCTAAAAATAATTCAACCCCATGAATATAATCCCGCACAACAGCACAAATCTGGAAAACAGGTGTAGTCTCAAGCACAGCTGATGCAGGTAATCAAGGGCTTCATTAGTTCCACCAGGTGTGCTTGAGCTAGAACACATGAAATATCTCCCCGTAATGTTCACGCATTAGGTCAGTAGGCGGAGAGAAGGCGGTCTTTTGTGGCTGTTTGAACACATTCGACAACATGAGCGTTTACACTAGGAAAGCAATCCTGTCGAATGATTTTTCAACTACCTCTGGAAGTGGTCGAAAGTGGACAAGCTCAAAACGTTTTAGACCCCGTTTATGCATTTAGCGTCAAACCAAAACGCATCTCAATCCCAGGTGTAAACAGGGCCTGACAGTTGACAATGGACAGATGAAGATGATGCTTCATTTAATGTTTGACATGGACTCACTGCTGGAGACTGCAATTCCACTAGTCTTTCCTCAGGAGTCCAGGCAGCTTTCACTAGATTCCCTCTGTGCGGAAACACAAACGGGTCAGTTAGCTTTAGCTTAGCTGTGCAGTAAGTGAGCGTGTGTTTTTATGGCATCACTCACAGTCTCTCCACTCTCTCCTCGGCCAGGAGCGTCCAGTGCTCGTCCAGACTTTGCTGCAGACGGGCCGTCTGCTTCTCGGACCCATCGGGCAGGAAGTCTTTCTGACCCTTCACTGGTATCTTATGGCTCCGGGACCTCGCCTCAAACAGCTCTGATGGACTGCATTCAAAGCCAACACAAATATAAAGAAATGCAAAAAATATAAATATGCAAATATAACAAATGCATGTGTAACAGAACATAAATCCAGACTTAACAATCGGAACCCTGTAAACCTGACATATAGTCTGAAAAAACATTATTTGAAATGAAACGATTTATTGAAACTTTAGACAAAATATAAAAGAAATAAATGCAGAAGTGTTTTATGTTTTATATAATATGACACATCAGGCTTTTATGGCTCATATAGTATGATATAGGGAGAATTTGAAGCTCACACTAGAGGAAGAACAAAACACCTTTATTCAGAGGCTGAGCAAAAATATGCAGTTTGAGCAAAAGCCTGAGGGAACATATTTGATACTCATATCTGAACATGATTTTTTCACCAAATGTTTTACGGATAGTCAAGTAAAGCTACGTTTTTTCAGGTACAGCAAGTGTTCATATTTGAATATCACTAACATCTTTTGTTTACTTTATAAAAAAAACAGTAAAGACTGAAACTGAAACAATAAAAAGACTTCAATAGTGATTGCATAAAAATTATGACTGTCCATGTCTGTCATTTCCACCAGAACATGATTAAAATGAAATATGAGATGAGAAATGGAAAAAAATATGAGACAAATAAGGTTAATATTTCAGATCAGATTCAGAATATTTGTATTGTGCATCATTTTCAATCAAGCAGTAATTGAAGGTGAAAATATTAGTTGTGTGCATTTAAGATATGCACCTATTATAGCAATGCAATTAGCCTTAACAAGACTACAGAGTGATAACTTTTATTATCTTCATTCTAAATGTTAGCAATGTCATTTCCACCACAAAATATTATTGCATGAAATGCATAATCTGAGGCGTTAGGGAAAGGACATTTGTTCATTGTGGTTCAGAAGAAAGACATAATTCTACTGTAATATATTCACTATTGGAAATTATTGAAATAATAAGGTGTATAATGTGTGTTAGTGCTTATAGCTGAAAAACACCCATGAAAATGGGCAACACATAGCATATCAGTGATCGGACGAAAACAAATGTGAGTTAAAATTCTGCAAACAAAGAAATTTCTCTAAACTGAGAACATCTGTCATACACATGGTACATGATTTCATATAATAATCAATGGTTGTGATTAATTTTGATTCGCTGTTTCGAAGCGCCACACGCTGGTCGTTTCGAACAGTTTCGTTTCTCCCAAAACATTTCTAAAAAGATTAAATAAATAATAAATAAATAATAATTATAATAATTTCCAATGCCTGCTGCTGGTCAGAACAGTGTAAATGCAAGGAAAACCCAGGCCAAACATGCATAAAAACACATTTAAAAACTAATTGCATATGTTTTATAGAAGTTGTTCTATTAAATACAATGAATGATCAAATCATCATGAAATACCATTAATTATAAAGGCATTATAATATAGGCCTATGTGTCATTTTATGAAATTGTAGGGCTTGTTTTGTTTGTTTTATGGAGAGCCAATTGAACCACTGAAACTTTGAAACATTTCGAAACTGCAGTGATGAAAGGAAGCCTCGTTTACTGAAATCACGTGACTTAGGTGCTACTGAATCACAAATCAGAAGCACTGATAAATGAATCGCAATGTTTTTGAAGCTTCACGAAGTGTGTGTTTTGGTGTTTGCTGCTGTCTAGCGCATGTTGTGTGTTTCGCTTTCAGCACATTGACACGAGGGTAATCATCACGTGTGTTACTGCAGATCACGAACAAATAAATTAACTTTATCGGCACAAACAATAAACAACGGTTTTTACAATGAATAAACGATGACAGTTACCTGAGCAGCTCCTGATAAACATTGAGTTTGTGAGCATCTATGGATGTGTCTCTGTCTGCCATATTTACTGCTGCCTGTGTTGTTGTTGTTTCGGGGTCCTAGTGCGCAAAGAATACCATGTAGATTATACATGCGACTGTGCGCCTTTACCAATAGATGGCAGCACAGCACATAGCTAGACTACCACATCTTTTTTCGTGGTGTTTTGTTTTGTTAAGGAATCAGATGAAAGTTACAAACAGAAACAGACGGTTAAAGTACAGTATTAACATATTAAATGGCATATTAGAGTGATGCAGGGATGCGGCTGTGCTATTATTTAGTCCAAATTAAACCTGCAAACGAGTTGCAATTAGCACTTCCGGTTCCTTGTGTGTGTGTTTTTTTTTTTTTGTTTTTTTTTGTTAAATGCCTGAATTAAGGTCTGTGGTGAACACAAGCCCAAGTTATGTAAATGTTTTATTTTACTACATAAAATACATCAGTAATGCCCTCTTGTGATTTGTTAAGCCTCTACTTGTCTTGAAAATGGCTACGTTGTCAGAGACATAATGTCATCACCAGGTTGAACAGGTAAACTCATCTACTCACTATTCGCTTTCACAGCCTCATTGTGATTATAGTAAAACTATTTTTTTTTAATAGACTAAAATGTGAAATAGTTGTCTGACATTGAAGTCGTGTGACCATGTAGTTTATTTATAGCCTGTTTTATATTTATAGCCTAAGTTGTGTTCATTTGTGAAGATTATGGTGAACAAAACATGTCAGAATCAGAAAAGTTTTACAAAGCCAATGGAAAAAAATCTTATTGGGTTTAAGTTTATCATAAATGCTTGTCAATACATTCGGCAATACACTTTCACCATATTTCAACAGACAATAGAAGTAATTATGAAATTACATATAAAGAAGTAGGCTACTGAAGTCCTACTTAAGTGGGTCAAAAACCCAGCAAAAAAAAATAAAAAAAATCTAAGTACGTTTTGCTAACGTTCACATTAAGTTATAAAAACGCTTCAAAGACTCGACACGATCCCAGCTGAGGAATAAGGGTCTTATCTAGTGAAACGATCGGCCATTTTCTAAAAAAAAAACTAAAAAACATGTATATACTTTTTAACCACAAATTTAATTTATATGACTGATCGTTTCACTAAGACCCTTATTCCTCAGCTGGGATCGTGTCGAGTCTTTGAAGCTGCATTGAAACTGCAATTTTGGACCTTCAACCCATTGGACCCCATTGAAGTCCACTATATGGAGAACAATCCTGGAATGTTTTCCTCAAAAACCTTAATTTCTTTTCGACTGAAGAAAGATAGACATGAACATCTTGGATGACGTGGGGGTGAGCAAATGATCAGGAAAGTTTAATCCTGAAGTGGACTTATCCTTTACCAGATAAACTCTTGTGGGAAAAGAGCTGTAAAAGTTATCTTTGTATGGCCCACAACAATGATGCAACATGAGGGTGAACTATTTTTTAGACGAACTACTTCATCACTTGACTTCTGTTGGCCTGTTGTAGTGCCTGCCTCTTTGATGAAGCGCACTGGCTGGTCTCTGAAGTGCTGTCAGGGGTATCAGGTGAAAGGTGTGAAGGGTGACGTGTGTGTTTGTCCGTATCACACGTCCAGCTGTCTTTTGTTTGACCTGAATGGCACACACAGCTCAGGCACCTGAGACAGACACCTCACAAACCAAAACACCACCACAGCTCCTCCACCCCCTTCCTGAAAGTCAACAATAAACCACGCTTCCAGTAAGCCAGATAGCTTCCCAAGTCCTCCCCCTCGCCATGGAAACAAACGCCTTAAGCTGACAGTGGTGTCTCTCTTGACCAAACCAGGCCACCCATGCAGAGAAACGCACGGCTCAGCGTGACACTCTCTGTACGTATATATCTACATGAGAGTTTCTGATGCATCACATTCTGTTCTTGTGCGTTCATTTTCATTTATCACCATTTTGAGCATGAACAACTCCTTTAGATAAAGAATATTTAAGTTGCTTCTTCATTTTTCCTGGTCTCCTCTTGTGAAAAAGAAGCATTTAATGTGCACTCGTCGTGTATTTTAAATCTTAAACGTATATTTTTTAAACATCTTGCAGTTTATATAATAGGCTGTTAATGAAATAAAAGGAGTGCACTTAAAGAGAGAGACACTTTCTTAACACACTTTTAAATTATGTCACATTAAATGTTTCACAGTACATTTTAAATCATTATGTTTTAATAATCTTTTGGTGTGTTTTAGTAAAGAAGTGCACTTATTTTGTCTTGGCTAACACACAATAAAGCACATGTATAATTTTAATGGCAGTGTGTTATTTGCACTTTAAAGTTAATATATTTTAAACGTACTAAATTGTCATAGAGTTACATGACTTACAGGCTTCAACAGAAAGTGCATTAAAGTATATTTTAGTTTACCATAAATGCTTGTCATTCAGCAGTAACTTATATTTCAAAGACAAGTAATTATGAAAACACATGTAATGATGTACTTAAGTGGGTCAAATAAGCACTCTTAAGTTCAACTAATTGACTTATAAATGTGAATCTATAACCCATTTTCATTTATTGGCAATTTACATGCAGTTATTTGTGTCTGAAAACATTACATTCAGTTCACACTTAAGTGTATTCTTTTAAAGTATAATGTTTCCGTAATAAAGTGCGCTTAAGTGTCTGTTTGAAATGTCTATCTCGGTTTTGTTTAAAATAATCAGTTTTCCACTTTAGTCTTTTCCCCTTTCTTAATGACATCATCTTCCAGTAAGTTACATTAAGTTTGGAAAACATCAGTACGCATTAACGCTGCATTTGATGAATTATGTGATGTTTTGGTGTATTGATTGGTTTGCGTTACTTTAAAACAGTGTTAATGCGCAAGAATAGTTTTTACCCTCTTTTGCTCTCCGTCAAAAATGATCCATATCTTTTTTTTATTTCAATGAAATAAATGTACTTTATTATAGTTTGATAATGTTTTTTATTTCATATTTTGTATTTTTTTAGGGGATTTTATGGTACTAAATTATATTTACGCTGTATTTATAATCCATTTATAATTCTATATTTATAATCCATCTATTCACTTTTTGAGCGTAGACGACCTGAAAATAAAATTTCGTAAACAGTTTAAGTTGGACGCTTAACAGATTATTGCTAAAGTGAAAAAAGTAAAATAAAAAAAAGTTACAGAATTTTAGGTTTATTGTTTATTTATTTTATTATGAAATATATATTTTCAAAAAATAAATTTACTCTAAAACTGCAGGAAAATCAAAGTCATAAATTTAAACAAGTTGTGTTTCAAATTTGAGGTTGATATCTCAAAAAATTAGCTTTTTGTTAGGCCGCAGTACCACACGTCTCCACTAGATTATATTCGTCTCCCATTAATTTCCAATGCCGTCATTTTTGATTAGGAGGAGCACAAGTGTGACGACTCATGTCCATGTGTGTGTGTGTGTTCACATAGCAAGTGCCAAAATCTTTACCAAGTTTCGTACCACTCTGATGAAGTAAAAAATTTGGGGGGAAAAACAAAACGTAAAATTTTCCGGTCAAAAGTGACCGAAGAGCCCCAGAGTTAATGTCGAGTCAAAGCATACCCTATGATATCCAATCATTTACAGCTACATGACAGTCTTGAATGGGAATTGAAAAGATTTTATATGGTTCATTATACAGTTCTTTACAGATTTGTGGTCAGTTACGCCAAACAACGCCTGCGCCGATCCAAAAGTGACGCTGAAGCTTTGTGTGTGATTCTCTTCATCCCATTCAGGAACGCTTAACTGCGGGGTCCTGGGATGTGTGAAGGTCTTTCACAGTGTGTGACTCTCTAATCCGCTGGTTAATGCACTGAATTGGGTCTGTCTCATCTAAAATCAGCAGAGCTGTTGGGTTTTTTCCACTTTTTGTGTAGACCGTTGATGTGCAAAACACTGTGGTGAAACAGATTGCCAGAGAGGTCATATTAAAAGGTCAACTCGATTATCAACTCTAGTCTTATTAAGAAAAGAGGAGTTTTGGTGAATTTGTGTTTCTCAGACTTACTTTGTTGTTTTAAATCCTTGCCAATTCAAGCACATTGTGTTATTTTTCTTCACTCTAAAAATTTTTTTTTTTTTTTTTTTTTTTTTTTTTTGCCCAAATCATGGGTTGAGCCTTTTGGGTCATTTTCTTTGGGATATTTTTCAGTATTTGGGTAGTTTTGGTGTTACCCAGATCCTGGGTCAGACCAGACGTAACAACCCAGGGATTGAGTTATTTATCGTGGGCTTTTTGCCACCTCTTCAGGAGAGAGCAGTGCAGCTCCGTCAAACTGTCTTCGGTAAAATACAGGTTTGTGTACATTTTATTTCATATAAATTCGTTGTTGTGCTGTATATCGTTTAATTTTATACAGACCAACATACAGGGGCGCGATGTGAGTCACCTAAACGAGTGTCGCGTCGATCTTTTCGTGTGATGGAAACGCCTGATGCCTTGCATTAATGATTTTATTCAAAAAGATACAGAATATAAATACGTGTGATGTTAAAATTTGTTCTCAGAACTGTACACTGATTGTTTATGGACAGCTTATGGAGCCAGTCGCCGCGTGTTTCGGCTACGAGTGAAACGCATGGTTAGAAATTCCCCCGCTGAACACGACACAAGCTCCGGCACGACTCGCACGAGATCCAGCGCCGTTACGGTGGAAACGGGACGACAGAGACTGGGCAATTACACTTCAATTAGCCTTAGGCAACGCAAGGCAAGTTTATTTATATAGCACATTTCATACAATGGTAATTCAAAGTGCTTTACATAGAAGAAATTAAAAAATCAAAAGAAATAACAATAATTAAAACAGTTTAGAATAAAGAAATTAAAATAATCAAAAGAAATAAGAATAATTAAAACAGTTTAGAATAAAAAATACTTATAAATGTTTTATTTGTACTTCTAATATTTGTTAAACGAGCTTAAATGTTGGCAATAGCCTATGTATTAAAAATGATTTAAAATATACTATACTGTAAAATATGATTGTAAATAAAGTCAAGTGGTTGTATCAAGTATTTAAAAA